AATTGCTACCACAGACAGAAGGGGAAGTGATCCCTCCACCTTTACAAAGTGAAGAAGCTCCAGATGTTGTAAACTTCTCTGGTCAGTTTCATTTTGGAAGGAAGAGGGGGCATTTCCCCCCTTTCTCTCTCTGCTGGCTCCTAAATTTCCACTGTCATGTCAGACTATTACTATCTTCTTTTTAAAAAAATTAAAAAGCAAGCCCATAGTGGGAGCAGTGAGTGGCTATGGGAGGCAGCCAGTGTGAGGTAACAAATACAATTGATACAGACAAAGGCATTACCATATGCCAAACCAATGAAAAATAAATCAGTTTTACATCTGTGTTAAAATAAATGACCTTCTGATGGCTCAATAAAATATGTCGTTTCTAATTTAAAACACATGATTCCTGGTCCAAACAATCTGTGATTTCAATGTACATCATGTGGTCAAGATTTTTAAAATTGATTTTATTTAAGCAAAATTTGATTCAACAGTGGTTCTTTCTGCCAGTATAGCCGAGCCCTATGTGTTCTGTTGATTTTGCAGCATCAGTGTCCATTTAGAGACAGATGATAAAAATCAAGGTACAAAAAATAGAACACAATGTTGATTGCTTCACTGTCAACATTATAGTTGAACAATTCGTCCTGTTATTTTTGTCTTCTTAAGGTTCTATTCCAGTTGGAACAACAATTAGATTTTGTCCTCTAGACACAGTCGCCAGGCAAGGAAACAACAGATGATGAGAAATTCTGCCTATGCCTTCTCAGCAAGAACAATCAAAAGGACAGGGAAAAGGGAAAGAGAGGCATGTTTGTATCCCTGGGTTGCAACTCTCATTATCCCTCCTCATTGGCCAAGTAGTCTAGGGCTGATGGGAGTTGCAGTCCAAAAGCATCTGGAGGGCCAGAGTTTCCACACTCCTGGAGATGAGGGAGACCAGCCTGGACCCAATCAATCATCAGACTCATAGGAACATATACTGTATCAGCACATTTGGTCACAGGAAGAACACAGTATTTTAATGGCTGCATTACTTGAATAGGCAGATAGCCTATGCTCTAATTGTGAACACACTCCATACATGAGCCTGGTGATTTAGGGATTTTTCTCATGTGCTTCTCTCATGTTCTTCTTTCCTAGTGTGGGGCTCCATCTGCTGGTGAGCCACCGCACTTTTCAAGTACAAAGCACATTATAATACAGTACAGTATTTGAATTCTACAAGCAAGCAAGCAAGCAAACAAACAAAGTGGTGAGCCACAGCACTTTTCAAGTACAAAGCACATTATACAGTAATACAGTATTTGAATTCTACAAACAAGCAAGCAAGCAAGCAAGCAAACAAACAAACTAACAAACAAGTAAGGGAAATACTGTATGTAGGAGGCCTCTGCATTTTAAAACTCAGGAAAGGGGATTCATCTAGATATTTACTTGCCCAAAGCAATGCACATCTCTAGAGGGGAAATACTGTATGTAGGAGGCCTCTGTACTCTGCATTTTAAAGCTCAGGAAAGGGGATTCATCTAGATACTTACTTGCCCAAAGCAATGCACATCTCTAGACTCCGAATTCCACCTTAGTCCTGAGCCTCCTCCTTTTTTTCCCATTTCAGCAACCATGGCCAGATGCATGCCAACAAATAAATACTGAATCATGCACTTTTCAGGGGCCTGCTGACTTCAGGAACCTGCCCTCTACTGAATGAGTCCAGCTTCTCTGCAGCTCAGGGGTGTTTATACGAGGGATGGAGAAACAGGGGTCTCTTCAGAAACTGTTAGATTGCAGCTTCCATTCACCCTCACCATTGGTCATGCCGGCTCTGGGCTGCATCTCCCATCACAGCTCACCACTGGCTATATTGTTTAGCAGGAGCTAACAAACCAACCATTTGGGGCCTCAGATTATGTCATATGCTGTTAAATCAGTTATGATTTGTGGTGACCATTGTAGGGTTTCCAAAGTATGTGCAATACTAAGGGTCAGTTTTACCAATGCATCCCTGACCCATAGCCAGGCAGAGATCTGAATCCAAGTGTCCTGAATCTCATTCCAACATTCTCTCTACTACACCACACTGATTCCCCTAATTATGAGGACTTTCTAAATAACAATTTTTGAATAGTATGGGGGGGCGGAAATCAAGTTTAATATAATAATGAAGTAGAGTCTCTATGGAGCTTGAAAGATAGTGTAATAGTATTGGATTAGGGCTGAGGAGACTTGTATCCAAATCCTTGCTCAGCCATGGAAATTAACAGCAGGAGAGAGGTTGGAACTGCTAAAACCACTCTTTAAACATCCCATATACCAGTACTTCCCAAACTTGGGTCCCCAGATGCTCTTGAACTACAACTCCCAGAAATCCTGGCCAGCACAGTTTGTGCTGAAGGCTTCTGGGACTTTTAGTCCAAGAACATCTGGAAACCTTTGTCACACACCTTGGGAACTATGTTAAGGTTGCCAGAAGTTGGAACGAACTTGACAGTACCTAACATATACAGCTAGCTGGTGTATACAGTGTGCCTCTTCACATTGTTTATTATTAAATGTGACTCTGACCGGGGCTAATGGGAGTTGAAGTACAACAACACATGAATGTCCCTATGGTGCCCACATGTACTGAGTTGGGGCCCTTCCGGCCTTTAAGCAGGAACTATTTTCAGCAGAACCTGAAGATACAGAGAATTGAAACTGGGATCTTTTGAATGCAAAGCTGGTGCTGTATTCCTGAATAATGTCCTGTCCCCTTAATTCTTTGTCTTTCTATTTATTCCATTAATTGTATAACCACTGTTTCAGCAGGCACTGTGTTTTCATTGGCTGCGCAAGACTTGGAGGCATGGCAATGATATGGAACACTGTAACACTGAACAAATAAATAAAAGCTAAGTATTTCTTGAGAACTGCGCTTTTCTACACCTATTAATGCAGAAATGGTCACATTGGACTACTGCTGCATATGGTTAATCTGAGCAAGACAGAAAAATGTGTTTTGTCTTTCAGTGCCACCGTTGCAGGCATGAATGTCCCTCTCTCTCTCTCTCTCTCTGTGTGTGTTTTTAAGAGGCCATGCAAGGTAACTGATATCTTTCCTGAGTGGGAAATTATTGTAGATATGCTATTCAAGTATACTTTCAACCCTGACCTACTCATTCTGCATTTTTCTGTTTTTAAAATAGCCTTTTCCTTCCAAGGACTTCAGCAGAAGCAGCTAGTTTCTGCTTATATGCATATTTCACAATCTCTCCATCAGTAAACCTGTGGGGAAAAAGTACAGTAGCTGGAAGTGCAATAGGAAACAATTAGTGAGGCTCTTTACCAGCAGAGATGAGTATTTTCTCTGGAAGCAACAGTGAGTGTGATGTCGTGAGATTGGGTAAACCATTTGGGCCTTTAAAGAGAAGCATCAGCAACCCAGGCCGGTCTCAGAGTCCCAAAAAATGCAAGCAGGGCTCCTTTGTGTCTATTTCAGGGAGCAGAAATGTCAGTCTGGACTCAGCATGAGGGAAATCCTGACATGCTCATCAATCAGTTTGTTAGTAAAATGACATCATTCCACCAAGAACATAAATCTGCCTACTCCAAGCCTCTTGGACTGGTGCCCAGAAAGGAAACATCTCTTGTGCTACTGAAGGCAAGACTTTCCTCCCTCTTACTCTCCCTGCACATCAGCAAGTGGATGGGTTATATGCATAGCTTACAGCAGAGAAGATATAAATCCCTGGAACCAGAAATTGAGACGGTTTGAAAGAAGTGAAAGCAAATTGTTTTCTTCCTGTAGCTTCTGAAAGTTTATTCCAGTCTCCTATTCAGGAACCAGGATTTTGTAAAACAGCCAGGTCAACCATGTACAAGCCACATGGGTTCATTCTCTACTGTTAACTTCCATGGGCGTTTTAAAAACATTTATCCTAATGGCCAGAGGATGGAAAAAAGAAGCCTTATAATCCTCAACATACCAACAGAAATCAACTGTTGTTTTAAAACAACAATAGCAACAAAACAAAATCGACTAATGATTAACTGGAATTGTTGCCTTTATCTACAGAGACATAAGTTGCATTAGTCTGTCTCTGTATGGGAGCAAAATTAAAGGAGGAAAAAAGGAAAGAGAGAAAAAAAGAGAAGGCAAAATATTGTTGCACTTTAAACCACCTACAGTAATAATTCTTTAACTCCTTCTGATCTTACACGTGTAGTAGTACGTGATAGTGTCTCCACTAAGAACATTTTCATTCTGACTATAGATCTTTATGTAATCAAATCAGCACCATCCATGTATAACAGGGAGCTCTATGAAAGCATGATTTCAGTGTAAGCTCTCCAGGATCAAAATTTTCACCAGTATGAAGTCGTTCCTTGAGATAATTCTACAGTCTAGGTACTGCTGCAGAATGTTCCTGAACTACATCTGAATGATAAAGCAAAGCAGGCTGCTTCTATACCACCTCATAACCCTTAAACCATTCTCGGGGCGGCTTACAATTTAATTATGCAGGCTACACATTGCCGACCCACACCTCCAGCTGGGTAACAAAGTTGGAAGGTTGGACGGAAGGTTAAGTGCACCTCATGCCCTACCTGGAATTGAACCCGGGGCCTGAGCACAGCCTTGGCAGCAGTACTGTAATGCCACTGCGCTGTGAGACACATTCCAGGAAAATGAGAGCGTCCCCCGCTGGTGACATGTCTTAATGACTCCAGAACTGATGTCAGCCCATCGAACTTTCTCCACAAGGTTGAGTTTCCTGGTCCACGGGCAGAGAAGAGTTTCCATCCTCGTTTGAGGGGTCCTTCCACGCCTACTTCTGTGCTTTCCAAGGCTCCCGGGGGACTTTGTGCAAAAGTCCGAGGTGTGCACGGTGCACGGGTCAGCGAGCGGGGGTGGGTGGGGGGCGTCTGTGCGCGCGCCGTTTCCTTCTGAGGGGCCGCTGGCGTTATTTCCTACCGCTTGCCGGCAGAGGGCGCCAGTGGAACCGGCTTGCTTAGATCGGATGGGAGGAGCCAAGCCCCGCTGGTAGCGGCGGGTGGGTCTCTCCTTGCGCGGCGTCTGGAAAGGCTGCCTCTCTTTTCGGCTGGCATGCAGCCGCCGCGGGATCGTCCGACCCGCCCGCCGTCCTAGGACTTTGTCGGTTCCAGACTTCTAAACGCCGCTCCGCTGTTGCCTGGTTCCTGCACTGGGGGAGGGAGGGCAGACGCCTTCGCTTCCTCCATTGCAGCAGCTGCACCATGTCGGGGAGCCGCAGCCACGACGGGAAGCAGGCAGAGCAGGTGGAAGGCGGCGGCGGCGTTGGCGGCGGCTCCAGCTCCTCGTACCTGGAAGACGGGCAGTGCGACTCGGGCATCGGGTCTATCCGTTCCTTGCACAGCCAGGTTGGGGAAGGCGACCCCCGATCGCCGGCAGCCCGGGGCGCCACGTTGGACAAGGGTCCCGATTCCCCGTGCACCGGCAAGGAGGGGCCGGCCGATGGGGAGGAGAGGCTCGACTCCAGCTATGGCTCCTCGTCGCTCGTTGAGTCCCTGGCGGGACTGGATGAGGCCCCTGTCCCTAAAAAGGAGGAGGAGGAGGAGGAATCGGGAGAAGAAGAAGAAGAAGAAAGGGTCAGGCAGCAGCAGCAGCAGCAGCAGCTGGAGACTTTCGCTTTCGTGTCCGAAGAAGGAGACACGTGAGTAGCCCCTGCTGACAAGCCGAGGAGGGCAGAATGACACGCTGCCGGTCGCGGCCTTTGTTCCAGAACAACGGCAAGGAGCCTTGTGGTCCCGGACAAGGTCGAGCACGTTGTTCCGTGGAGAGAGAGAGAAGCCGCCGCCGCCGCCGCCGCCGCCGTTGGAGCAGGCGCTAGGAAGGGTGGTGGTGGTGGGGTGTGTGTGTGTGGGGGGGGGTACGAAATGGAAGGGAGGGCCAAAGGTCCAGCATGGCGAGGGTCAGTCAGGGGTCGCATTACCCCCCAGGACTGTCAGGGACCACGGGCTGGGCCCATTACATTTCCCTACGCTTTGTATACTGAAGCTACTGCAACCGTAAAGTGGCCTGCAACTCACGCAAACTTAATGCACAATAAAATGTGTTGGTTTTCAAGATGCCACAAGATTCCTAGTTGTTGCTGATAGAAGGGACTAGTACGACTGCCTTGCTGGAAATGTAATAAACAGCATATCTGGAAAGCTGGGTTTTTTTTGGGGGGGGGAACAGTCATTTCTTTTGGAGGTAGAAGGGCGATTTTTGTCCTCTTTCTTCTAAGAGAGGAAAGTATTCTCCTTAATATTTCCATGCCCCTCAGATGAGCATCCACCTCCCACCCCAGCTGCCCCCTGGCGGATCTGGGGGTGGGTTGGAAGGGAAAGGATTGCTTTGTTGAACTGGGCTTTTCTTTCGGCAAGAGCCAGGTCCTGTAAATGAGCATGTCCACCTTCAAAATGAGGGACAAATAGTGCCATTTAGTTAAACAGTCTCACAATATGTATTTTGAAGATTATCAACATATCCACATGCAGGCTCAGAAAGTATACGATGGGCACTGTTAAAAACAGTGTTTTGTCTCTTGCAGAGAACACCTAAAACATTTTAAAAGTAAAGTGTAGTTAGGGGTTCTGGGATCCATGTTCTTTGTCTCCTGAGTCACAACCTTCTGTGAATCTGAGCTTATGGGCTAATGCTAGTTTTATTCTTTGATTGGAATTGTGCTGTTATTTGTTCATATAATGAATAGTTTGGGAGATGTAACTTCCTCTGTGGCTTATGCAGCTGCCACCCACTATTTCGTGGCTTTGTCTTCACAAAAGTCCGGTGGAGAAGGCTGGGGAAGGGAGCCAAGCTACTCAGAATGAATTACCAAGGCTTTCTGAACCTGTTTGGCTCTCCCGTTGAGGTATCTGTACAGTTAGGCCACGATAACTAGGCATGAGGGTTGATGGTAGCATTCTGGCCTTGTTCCATGTTAACATTTTCGGTCAGCATTTTTTTCCACCTCCTTTTTTTCGTCAAAAGTGAAATTGAGGTGCCACGTTTAGTTATCCATAACCCTTTAAGTCATTTGTACTTTCTGCAGCCTCCTTTGTAGGCTTAGAGCAGAGGCGAGGTTGTTGAATGAATGTGGAAAGCCAACATCTGAATCCCACATGACTCCTTCTTCTCTGATGTAGTACTACTTGTAAGCTGTTCTAAGTTAAAGTGTGTACTGCTTTCAGTTAACTCTTTTTCTAGAGAACCAGACGCATGTTAAATGTGACTCTCTCTCTCTCCCTCCCCCCTCCCTCCCTCCCCTCTATATATATAGAAAGAGAGAGAGAGAGAGATATTATAGTATATGTAATCTATCTATCTATATTTGAATTTGGGGGGATTGAGTGAGGGTTTTTCCCCCCTCATGAGGGATCCCTGCTGTTCTATGGGGTCCTCAGTGGCCTCTTCCTCTTGAGCTTGCTTCCTTGAGGAGAGTCTTCATTTCCCAGCCTCTGCTCATGATTTCACTTTCCTCTCCTGGTGCTGCTGTTCCAAAGAAACATGCATACATATAAAGTGGCAGGAGGGAGGGATGCCTGGATCTGTACGGCAGGGGTGAACATTCTGGTTCCATGCCTTTCTGACTCAAGTCCCACACAGGATCTGTTGTGATCCCTCCTCCTGCTTTAGATTTTTTTTCTCTTTTGCTGTCAGCTTTGTGTTCTTGAAAGAACAGTTCTGCTGTTTTTATGTTTAATGACTGCTGATTGACCTGTTTCCCTGTGCTGGCCGTGCTGCTCTTCTACGGAACTTCTGCAGAGTTTGGGAAGGCTCCTTTTTTTTGGGACTAGAGTTTCAAGAATCCGCTATCCTGGCTGAGAACTGTAGTCTGAACGAGTAACTTTCCCAGGCTCTGTGCTTCTGTAACGGGAAGAAGAGCTCATCTTGAAACAGGAGGCGAAGAAAAGTCTCTGATCTAACCAGACTTCTGCTTGAAGTGATGATACGGAGGCGAGAGAGAAGTAGATTATTTTACAAGTTCGCCCTGCCATTGGCCCTCTTCTAGTTTGGAGAACTGGATTGTGCCATTAGGAGAAAGCCACCCACTAGGAATTTATAGACCACTTTTCCTCAGTTTGGGGGCTAGGCATGGCAGGGGTTAAGATCCAGCACATCTGGAGAATGCTGGGCCGTGGCCACTTGTCCTTGCCTGGAGTACATCAGGACCCCAGGGATGAAGGCATTTTGTTTTCCAAAACGTGGGATGCTTCAGGTTGCAGTTTATATGTTGAAAGTGGAGTCTATAAAGTTAGTTTTAATCTCTTCCTGTAACCATACAGAGAACTCCAATGTCCTTCTCTTCCCCTCTGGTTTTAAATAATTTGCATGAACCTGAAAGGCTCTGTGTACTTTTGAGAACAGATGCCAGACTATTCAAGCTTATCGCCTTTTTCTTGTTTTTTGATCCTTCTTTGGAAGCAAGCAGCTATCCTTGTATCCTTCGGCTAAGAGCATTTTGTGTGGTAGAGCTGGGGTTCTTTTATTGCTGTTTCCTAGCAGTGTCTGACAGACAATATCACTTCCTTGTAACAAAATTATAGTGATGAAAGAACATAAGTTTGTAGCTTCAGATTTCTGGTTCCTGTTTTTCACAGCTGTCATAGTGAGATTGCAGCTCGCTAGGAACTTGGTGGTTTTTAGGGAACTGACTGTAGAGCCAGAGGTTGGGAGTTTGATTTCCCACTGTGCCTCCTGGGAGAAAAGCCAGCTTGTGTAGCAGGGTCAGGCTGGGTCGTGATCTTGTGTATGCCATCTGATCGCTGAAAAATACCTGGCACTGGGCCCTGCCAGAAGCAGCCCCAAACGTGAGCTATATCTCTGTCTGGTCACATCTTCGATAACAAATAGCAGAAAACTCCCACTGGTTTAATTGTTGTCCAGATGTTTGAAGCCTGTCATGTTTTAAGCCTGCCATCTTTCCTTGAGAAAGAAATTTTTGCAGTTAAATAGTGGCATACGCACGTGTGTCTTCCATATGTAATATGTGTGATATTCATTCTGCAAAGGCTGAATTTTTGAAAGGGTTTGTATGGCTAATCCAGATTTCTTGGGAGTGAAAGATTAATCAAGTTTCGAAGACTTTAGCCTTTGTCCAGGAATAGAGTATGTGCCCCTCTAGGTTTGGTTAGATTGCAGTTCCATCTGTCCTTTATGATGGGCCATGCTGGAGAGGACTTATGGGACTTGCATTCAAACAACATCTGGTGGATGACATATACTGTATTCTGCTACTGGCTTGCATCTTCCAGCTGTAGCCTTTCTCTTGGGATGTCAGTATGCACATGAACTTGTTGAAAGGCTTTCTGAACCAGCTAACCCATTGAAATCTTTCTTTGGGCCTTCTTGAAGTAACATTTTTTTTCCTGAGAAAAAGCATGATCTCTGCTGATCATATGCAACATGTGTTTCTGATGACTAGCTCAGAGGGACGCTTCATTACACAACGTTGGAGAAGACTGCTGTGAAGAGGAAGAGTGTGAAAAGGAAGATCAATGAGTTGACAGATGAATTAAGAAAACTGTTTTTGAGGGCTCATTTTGGATGTTACGAAAAAAATGGCCATTTTATTTTATTTTTTGTATTCTTCCTCCCAGGGAGAGGTGCTGTTGGCGTTTGTTGTTTCAAGTGCCAAAATGACTGGGGTCAGCCTTGGTTACTCTACATCTCAGACTAGGGCATATGAGTAGTTCAGGTTGGGGAGAAACATTTTGCTGTTTTGATTCAGGCAGTTCTTGGGCAGTCCTGGAAAAAGATAATGTTGGCCTCTTGTTCCTCTCAACCAAAGGGGATCGAAGGGAGATACTGCTAGTGAGCAAATAACTGCTATCTGCTGTCCTGTTCCTGAAAGGTAAATCCAAAAGACCATGTGACTATGGCTGCCATTTTGCTTTGCCTCCTGCAACTGTTGACGTTGTAGCCCTTATTTAGTCAAATACGGGAATCCCCTGCTCCCCTAAAGTCCAAATTGTAGTCAGAGGAACTGTGTGGAAACTATTGGAGCTATTTTAGTAGTGTTGAATATGTGTGTGGTCTCCAGTGGGAGGTGTAGGCGTCAGAGGGAAGCCTAACGCTGTGGCGTGTGGTTAGTGCTGCATACTCTCCTGACTGAGGGGAAATCACGTGTCAGGGACTTCTAGACTGAGGTTTGTTGGGTAGAAGTGGAGATGGTGGGTTTATTTAGATCTTGTCTTGGAGGGGCTATGCTTCATAAATTGGTGCCTTCAGGCAAGAGCAGTTAAGACTGATCAAGCCACCCTTCCCTAGCCAGGTTCTCTCTAGAAATGTTGGACTGCAACTCCCACATAGAGAGAGACTTCCATGTGGGTTGTGTTTTTTTTTAAAGTGTTAAGCTTTCCTGGAACATGTAATTATTAAGTGGGTGCTTGTACCCAAATCTGAGACATGAGGTGAGGAGAAGGAGGATCATTTTGCACAGTAACTGTGATATTTTGTTTTTAAGATTAATCGCCTAGAAATCTATTTGCCCATTTAAGATTTTTCTTTTTGTTTTACTAAGAACTCTCTTGTTCAATGACAGTACATAGGAGACCCCAAGCAAACCTGTTATGTCTAATTCCTGCACTCACTGTGGTGCTACTGGAGAAAAGTCAGTATCTGGTGTAGCCTCCCAGTTGAACATTTGTTATTCTGTTAGATTCATGG